CACAGTCATACCTTCCTGTCTTCCGTCCGTGCCTTTCATGGTTGGCATTCCCAGTCGTCCATGGTTGGCTCTCCACAATCGTCAGCTCCCTCTGTGACGGGACAGTAACGGCTACAGGCACTGTAGGTAGGCATGGAGGGTAACTGTAGGAAGTACTGAGTCATACCTACCAGTCTTCCCTCTGCGCCTTCCATGGTTGGCTCCTCCAATCGTCCATGGTTCGCTTTCCACAATCGACAGCTCCTTCTATGACCGGCCAGTAACGGCCACCGGCACTACAGCTAGGCATGGAGAGTAAGTGGACGAAGTACACAGTCATACCTTCCAGTCTTCTGTCCGTGCCTTTCATGGTTGGCTTTCCCAGTCGTCCATGGTTGGCTCTCCACAATCGACAGTTCCTTCTATGACCGGCCAGTAACGGCTACCGGCACTACAGCTAGGCATGGAGAGTAAGTGGACAAAGTACACAGTCATACCTTCCAGTCTTCCGTCCGTGCCCTTTCATGGTTGGCTTTCCCAGTCGTCCATGATTGGCTCTCCACAATCGACAGTTCCTTCTATGACCGGCCAGTAACGGCTACCGGCACTACAGCTAGGCATCGAGAGTAAGTGGACGAAGTACACAGTCATACCTTCCAGTCTTCCGTCCGTGCCTTTCATGGTTGGCATTCCCAGTCGTCCATGGTTGGCTCTCCACAATCGTTAACTCCTTTTTTGACGGGACAGTAACGGCTACAGGCACTGTAGGTAGGCATGGAGGGTAAGTGTAGGAAGTACAGAGTCATACCTACCAGTCTTCCCTCCGCGCCTTCCATGGTTGGCTTTCCACAATCGACAGCTCCTTCTATGACCGGCCAGTAACGGCCACCGGCACTGCAGGTAGGCATGGAGAGTAAGTGGACGACGTACAGAGTCATACCTTTCAGTTTTCCGTCCGTGTCTTTCTTGGTTGGCTTCCCCAATCTTCTACGGTTGGCTCTCCACAATCGACATCTCCTTCTATGACCGGCCAGTAACGGCCATAGGCACTGCATTTAGGCATGGAGGGTACGTGTAGGAAGTACAGAGTCATATCTTCCAGTCTTCCGTCCGCGCTTTCCTTGCTTGGCTTCTCAAATCGTCCATGGTTGGCTTTGCACAATCGACAGCTCCTTCTATGACCGGCCAGTAACGGCTACAGGCACTGTAGGTAGGCATGGAGGGTACGTGTAGGAAGTTCAGAGTCATACCTTCCAGTCTTCCGTCCGCGCCTTCCTTGGTTGGCTTCCCCAATCGTCCACGGTTGGCTCTCCACAACCGACAGCTGTCTCTATGTCCGGCCAGTAACGGCTACCGGCACTACAGCTAGGCATGGGCAGTTAGTGGACGAAGTATACAGTCATACCTTCCAGTCTTCCGTCCGTGCCTTCATTGGTTGGCTTTCCCAATCGCCCATGGTTGGCTCTCCACAATCGACAGCTCCTTCTACGACCGGCCAGTAACAGCTACCGGCACCACAGCTAGGCATGGAGAGTAAGTGGACGAAGTACAGAGTCATACCTTCCAGTCTACCGTCCGTGCCTTCCTCGTTTGGCTTCTCAAATCATCCAGGGTTGGCTCTCCACAATCGTCAGCTCACTCCATGACCGGCCCGTAACGGCTACCGGCACTACAGCTAGGCATGGAGAGTAAGTGGACGAAGTACACAGCCATACCTTCCAGTCTTCCCTCCGTGCCTTTCTTGGTTGGCTTCCCCAATCGTCCACGGTTGGTCTTCCTCAATCGCCATGCCGCTCTTTAACCGGCCGGTAATAGCAACATTCCCTGTCCGTAGGCTAGGAGTGCAAATGTAGGAAGTTACGATACTTACCTTCACGTCTTCCGTAGGCGCCTTTCCTTCGCTATCTTGCCCCATCACCGTTCGGTTGGGTCTTATCGCTCACCACCTCTACCATCGTCAGCAGGTATTAATCACAATGTCTGCCGCTAGGCATAGAGAGCAAATGCAGTACGTTCATCTGCTTACCTTCACGATATCCGTCTGCGAATTCGTCGGATGGTTGGGGGATATGTAGAAGTTGACAACCGCTGTACTGTAAACTTTCACAGTTCTACATCTAGACCCTCACCGACTGCTGGTGGACGTAGGTGCCGTCCTCAGCGGGTTATACCGACCGCCGCGGATGAAATACAAGCTCTCCTTCAGTCAGCAGGCGTCGTTCAATTTCTGCAGCG